CAGTGCCAGGCATCGGACGGAGTGCTGTAAAGTACGCTGTCACTGGGCTCTGTGGAAACGTGTTCTGTGGAGTAACGAATCCCACTTCTCTGTCTGACAGTCAGATGGATGAGTCTGGGTTTGCCAGATGCCAGGAGAACATTACCTGCCTGACTGCATTGTGCCAATTGTAAAGTTTGGTGGAGGACGGATAATGGTGTGGGAGTGTTTGTCAGGGGTTGGGCTTGGTGCCTTAGTTCCAGTGAAGGGAACCCTTGATGTTTCAGCGAACCAAGACCTTTTGGACAATTCTATGGACCAGCTCCATACTGATGCTTATAGATATTGAATCGGATGCCATAAAAATTGCTGTAGGTTTTATGGCCAGGTGTCTCAGCACTTTTGTCCGTGTAGGTGGGCAGCTGGATTGCCATCGTCTGAAGGGGCCATGACTTGGCAACCGCTGATACAACCTGCCCCTCTGGCAAGCTTCGCTGCCAGCACTTGATTGGCTATCACCAGGCAAGGTATTTAATGGGTAGCTCTTCAGCTTTGATTTTTGTCTTTGAAGGTCTTTGCTTATACCTGATTGGTCAGTGTTCTGGAGATACAGGCTCCATTTATTTTAGGCTACATGAGGCCCAAATTACACAGCTTTGGAAAAAATTAAGAGACCACTTTATATATTTTTTTAAATCTGCATTTTTAAATCCTGGTTTAATCCTGGTTCAGCTGGCAGAAGGCTACACTGTGAGACAGGCTGCTGTTTCCAAGACAGCACTGCACAAGAACGAAGTGAAGCAGGAGACACTGCGGACGACCAGAAACCAGCCTGCTAGAGGGCGGAAGCAACTTCCTGATGCCAGAGATGACCGTCAACTTATCTGGCAGTGCTTCACAAACTGGAGGGTGACTGAGGTCACCTTCAAAAAGAATGGGAATTAACTGCAGGTGTGAAGTGCACTGCTAGGACAGTTTGCATCAGGCTTCTAGAAGCAGGACAGAAGTCCCATAAAGCAGGGAAGAAGCCCTTCATCAATCGAAGCAGGCACACACCCATAAACTGAGAAATGAGTGAGACTGAAAATTTAGCTGTGGTCTCTTATCTGTATATTTTCCATCGTGATATAGGGTGGAAAGTCTCGAAGGCCTACCAGAGAAGTCGAGAGCACACACCCCTCTCTGGTGGTGGCCTTTCAGGAGCGACAGACACTTCAGGGTCTGGATGTCCCACACATGGATGGCTGGATCACGGCCCATCTGAGGAGCGATGGCGGGAAGGAGATAGGAGGAAGGGGAGGGATCAACGTTGGTCAGGTCAACACCGTGAAGAAGGCTTTCTCAAAGCCAGGTGACGCTGCTGCTCTTCCCCCCCCCGACTTTATCTCCTCACCCTTCCTCAGGGGGCACAAAGCACACAACAACTTCCAGCTAATTCAGCATCAATAAACAAAACATTAACAAATACCTAAGAGGATAAGCTGCCCCAGGACTGAGGGCCTCATCCAGGCTCTGCTCACAGGCCTCGGAGATCAACGGGCGTGTAAGAATGAGCACTGCTGGGCCAAGGTCGTTCCCATGGAAACCCAGTGAGCAGAGCAGCGCGGCTCCGCCTACCTGGCCGGTAGCGGCGTAGTCCTTGAGTGGGTGTACAGCTAGGCTGAGGATGTCGTCGTCGTGCCCCAGGTAGAACCGCTGCGAGTGCTGCTGTCGGTTGTAGACGGCAGCCACTGCAGCCACGTGGTACACCACTTCGCCCGTCTGCGTGTAGAACAGGTTGTTCCGGCAGTCGTATCCGCGATACCTGGCGGGAGAAGTGAGGAGCCGGTGAGGCGAAGTGAGGAGGCGGCACCGCCACGGAAACGGGCCTCACCCCCCCTGAATTGCACCAAGAGAGAACCTTAAACTCGCCGTGCTTCCAAAAGCGGCTCGACGGCGTGTTGCTAGGCAACGCCGTCACACCACGCCAGTAGGAAAGGACGGAGAGTCGTGCTAATAAAGTGTGTGTGTGGGGGGGGGGGTCGGTTACCACTGTGCCACGGCGGGGGAAAACCGTCTGTCAGAGCAGCCCGGCACTCAGGACCATTAGTGAATCCATTAAAAGGGGGGGGGGGACCCCTCATTAGTAAACAGAGGCTGTATGGCAGAAGGTTCCTCTGAAGCTAACTTACATATGGAGGGACACCCCCAGGAAGCCAGGAGGGAACTCCGAGCTTTTCGGGGTGCGAGAGAACCTCCAAAACGCAAGCCACTGCAGTCTGCGTGCAGCACGACTCAAAATTTATCCTGCGTGTGTGGAATTTCAACGAGAGCTGTGATTAAAAAAAAAATAAGTGTGCAGCCATGTTCAGCAGGTCGCTGCCTGAGCGCAGTGTGAAATCTGCACGTTCACGTGTGACAAGCTGACGGAACCTTAGACCCAGCCATGTAAAGGAGGAAAACAAACACGAATTAGCAAACACCATGACGTGGCACTTTAGCAATTACGGCAAGGTGTGCGACTGAGCAAACACATATTCTCCAAAAATACACCTTCTCTGCAAGGAAGTTGCAGCTTCCTACTGCCAACCTGTCATCCATCCTTCTAGAAGAAAATCACGGGGAATCGGGGAACTTCACACTCTGAGGCCTAAAGTAAGAACAGTGCCTGTGATCTCTTCACACTGCATTTACTATCACCCCCAGAATCCTGAGGGATGGATCCTTTCACATACTGTCTGAGGAGGGCTTTGGCTCGTACCACAGCCCTCTGGGGGGTGGCACCCTTAGAAACCCGCCTCTCGTCCCGTTAGCTGCTCCTGCTCATTTTAAGCGTCAGTGCATGGTGATGCAGGCAATGCATGTCCCATAAATCTCAGCCGAGTCGCAGCAAAGGGCAGCTTACGTCAAACACCACACCCCAGAAAAAAGGCAAAGTAGAACAATGCATTGTTGATTTTTACAATGCAATGTTAAGCCGTTTAAAAAATTCCACTCAAAAAATTATTTCAAAGTTTAATACAGTATATCTTTGCAGATGATTCCCTGCATATCGACAGGAAACTGCATTAAATGAATCATGAACAAGCCCATTATTTTCTGACGAATGTCTCGCTCTGGAGTCACACTTCGCCTCTGATTTGCACTGACAGCCTGAGCAGGGTGATAGTATATTTATGCTGGGCAGATTGTCAGTATTTCGGTGACCCTGACCACCATGTACTTAACCTTCTGGTACAGCAGGTACAGGTCTGTCCTCTCCCTAAGTGTCCCCTGAGCTTTTTCTGCTGAGGTGGCAAAGCGCTGGTGTGACCCCACCCAGACCTAAAGTGACTGCGAAATTCTCGACATTATCATTAGCCAAACGAAATGACCCGTCACCATCATGCGTAAGTGACGTGTCACTGCAGAACCCGGCTCCACTCAGCCAATCACAATAAGCCTCTTCCTCTACATCCAAACCCATCCTCTGGTCCTGCGGGGACTCACCCGTGAACAAACTGGAGCCGGAGCCCCTCGTCCGGGGGCCGCTGCCGCTTCAGGGAGCTGGCTGGCTGCCTCCTCTCCCGGCTCTGCTGCCTCAGCTGGGGTAAGTCTTCCTTGTACACCTGCGGGGACGGGGGGGGACAGCTGGTGTTGGGGCTGAGCGGTGTTTTAAAATCAGGACACTTTCTGTGACATTCAGCAGAAGGGGGGGGCGGGGTTGTGTCGATAACTACTTTATTTGCTACATTTTCCAGGGCGCCGGTGGGACGCAGCCCAGCCGTACGACCCATTTACACACGAGTGACCCTGGGGGGGGGGGAAGCAGCCAGCAGATGGGGCGGGACGAGGCGGGCCCCCGTCAGATGAGAGGCCAAGGTGGGCGAGTGCATCCGTGAGAGCCGGCATTCCAGAAAGAGACCTCTACAAATCTGACACACCATTGTCCTCGCTCCATTAGGGGAAAACCATGATGCCACTTAGAACGATGTCGCATTATTACCCCGCAGTCCTCCAGGTGTCCATGTGATCTCTCTTTCACCGGCCGATTGTCTGGCCGAGCGAGATTACATTCATTCCGGCCGCGTGATCCACTCTATACCCGGCTCGCCACATCCCTGTTCGACATTTAGTCTCTGGGACCCTCAACCCAGCCCCAAATCGCCAGGACGCCGTGATAAAACACGAATAATAAGATGAACGGGACGGATACTTTCGGTTAGCGCCGGGGAGAGGGTTAGTGGGCGCCAGGGATTTTAATGGCAATCGATGCCCCCTCCTCCAGTGCTTGGCCAGCCGGTCGCACCCCAACACTGGTCAACATGCCGGCCAGACGAACGGGGCAGGAGGCCGAGTGCCCATTTTGCCCAAACTATTCTGCGCAGGAGGGCGGTTCCAGGTTCAATGTTTCAAAGCGGATTGATTCACAGCTCACACAAACACAGCCAAAGCCTTCACAGTGTCTAAAGTCAGGGGGGGGGCGGGGGGCACGGACATGGACGCCGCTGCTTGGGTCAGATAAGAGGGCGTAGCAGGGTGGCCCGCATTCAGATCTGAATAGCGGTGGGGGGGGCAGGGGGGGGGAGCTACCCGGAGATGGTACACAAAGCGGCAGATTAACGGGCTGCCTTTCACTGTCTTATCGACTCACTCTTCCGGACCTTTCTGCCGCTCGGGCTGCCGAGATCGGGGGAGCAGAAATAGCTAGTATCCGCAGCCCGCCGGCTCTGAAAAGCGAGGTGTGACAGGCGGGCGTTAAGGAGCGCCACAACCCCCCCATGCAGCTCCCAGCAAATTTTTAGCTGAGCTAAGAAAAAGAGGAAATGCAAAAGATTTCCCTTAATCTTTTAGGACTAATCTTTTTGATTAGAGAAACAAATTAGAGAAGATTTTTTTAGCAAAAGCAGAAAACCACACTGTCTCAGAGAGCCAAACCCGTTAAACTTCTTCCTCAGACTCGTGTTCAGGTGTCCAATATGATAATGTGTCTCAATTCTCTGACGTGCTGAACACACACACACACACACACACGCACACACACACACACATCTATGTACAAATCAAAAATAAAAAACTTTTGTCCTTCAGCCACGACACCTACGCAGCCCCCCCTCACGGAGGCCACACAAACCTGTCGGTCGTAGTTGATCTGGGCCTCCTGTTCTATATCAGAGTCCAGCTCGGGGACATCAGAGAGATCTGAGTCTGACTCTTCGCTGTTGGAATCCGGGTATCCCTCTGGAGAGAGCGGAGAGGCCGGGAGAGGTGTTCAGGGACACCCCGAGCACAGGAAGGCACGTCTTTCCTCATGCAAACGCGAGGCAAAGGTCAGCCGACTGTCAGCCGTGAGAGGAGCTGTCAGCCTCGGTAATGTGCAAGCGGGACCGTCAGCTCGCCGGACCGGCCTCAGGAACCGGCTCCGGGTTCCGACCTAATGACAGCAGGTCTCACAAAGCAAACCACTCAAGATGTACACTAGGGAGTCTCTAAAGAACAAAAAAAAAAATTTGCATAAAGGGCCAGCAACTGATCCCTTTAGGACTGCTTGTGAAATGGAAATCATCTTAGTTTCGTTCACATTCATTCAAGTTCCACGTGGCCTAAGAACCAAATTGGGGCCTGACACAAATATAATGTAACACGTCGCGTTTGAACCGACATGGCGTCTGAACCGACATGCCGTTTGAACCGACATGGCGTCTGAACCGACATGCCGTCTGAACCGACATGGCGTCTGAACCGACATGGCGTCTGAACCGACATGGCATTTGAACCGACATGGCGTTTGAACCGACATGGCGTCTGAACCGACATGGCGTTTGATGCGGCACCTTGGAGAAGCGGCTCCAGGACGCCATTCATGACGCCTTCCGGCAGGAACCTCCACTGGAAAAGCGAGTGGTCCGCCCCCCCGGTACTCAGCACCCACTGTAGGTCATGTGACCAGTGTACGTTGGTCACATGGGCAGAGTGGCCAATGTACTTCTTGAATTTTGCACCTGCCAAAAGCAAAAAAAAAAAAAAAAAAAATTCACATTAATCCATAGAATAACTGCAGAGCAGAAACAGAAAAACAGGACATAAATGGAACAAAGGAATGTGATTAACACCAGGAAACAACAGATGTCCCTGTACAGGACAGAATGATGAAAAATGATTCACAGGTCTCCATTATGCAGGCGTTTCCATGCAAAACCTAAGTGGGTTTATAGAACCAGGAGGAAACCAAAACGACCGGAAAGCCGACCTTTTTTCAGACATGGGAAACGGAAGATCTTGACGAGACCGAAGTCGTCACCGGTCACCAGCACGGCGCTGTTGTAGTTGGCATCTACGGAGTTGATGTCGTTGATGTTGGTGTATTTTGGCCAGATCCCACTGACCTCTGGCCCTATGACACACGTCCAGGAAACCCAGTGGATCCCTTTGGTCTCCTCTTTGGATGTCACATGCTTCCCAGCTGTGCCGAGGAGATCAGGAAAACAGCTCAGCTCCACATGAATGTACAGCCTTTGAAACCCCGAAACTCCTGGTAATTCTGTGACCATGTGAAATGTGGGTTGTAGGAATGTAGCAGCTGCTGTCATTAAAAACTCTCATCTTAAAGGTAAAAGACTGACGAATGTCTGAATGGCAAAAAATGCTATTTGTTTATTTGCATTTTGTTTTTAAATATCAATAAATCACATAATCCACTTATAGCTACTGCTACTCTTTTGTCTTGGAGGATCAGAATTTGAGAATATGTACACGTCACGCCGGATAACTAATTTCATAGAGATCAGAGCAGCCAGACCAGCATATCTTTATGTATTTTAATCATCTCTGCCTGTCAATCTCAGTCTTTTATCCACACTATCAACCAGACTTTCTATGTCACAAGGGCTGGGCGTGATTTTTAGGTAAACAAGTGTGTTTGGCAAACAAAACCAGCCTGAACACACTAAAAAAGTGTGAGAGGCATAAATGAAAACAAATTGCCAATTTAAAAAAAAAAACATACAGCTTGAAGATACTGCAGCCGTCTGCTGTCGAACCAGCATATGGTCCTGGAACACGGCGAGGCTGCCGCCTTAATTATCACGACGTTCCTCACGGAGCCGCAATGGCGGATCAGCTACCGGCAGCGGCAGCTGTCGCTCTCCACACCCTGGACTGCGGCAGCACCCCCACAACCCCCCCCCCCCCCCCACCCGAGTCTGAAGTTTAAAAACCAGCACCAAGTAATCTCACTAAAATTAATTTGACAAAGTGCCTTGAGTTTGGCTCTGTGCCATAACAGGGAGAACCGTGAGATAAAAATAAACACAGATTTAAAAACACTAAGCAGATCCCCCCCCCACCCCCACCCACTCACCCCCCCCACCCACTCATCCCATCCGTCTCTAAGGTTCAGGGCTGAAAAGAGCTGCATTTTAAGTTCATTTTTGTTCTTAAACAGACTGGAAATCTGGAATTTTCAACAACTAAATGTGAACATCATGAATATTTTATCACAGTCTGCAAATTTTCTGTTCCGAGGAATAATCAACATTTCTTTTGGTTGTAACCCAGGTTTGGGTGTTGAGTATTAGACGCCTGAAGGGGGCGCTGTGCGGCTCAGCATGCTAGGACACTGTGGGGTCCTGTCAGTCGGCCCTTAACCTCAAATTGTTCCAGGTATCCACTGAGTGTCTCGCAAAAATAAATAAAATGTCAACATAAAGCCCTACCCCCTGCTACATGACCCCCCACCCCCCCACGGCCATTCAAACGTACCCATGAATGATTGGTTCTTAATGCTGATTGTTATTGAGCTCAGCTGACAGGTGCATTAAAGGTAACCTGGGGAGGAGGGGAATAATGACTATGTGCCGCCCCCCCCCCCCCCCGAAGGTTTGAAAAAGTGACACCATGTCGAGAAGCATAACAACAGCCGGGAGATTCCCGTCACAGAGCCCGGCTATTACAAGCTTTTGATCTTATGTTATTATAACCGAATTGGACAGGATGATATATAAGCGCAGCACAGCGTGACGGCGTCTTCACGTAAACCGATGCTGTACGGATTTAAATAACATCGTACGCAGTGTTAGCGACAGAGTCGTGGGTCCCGTCTGACGGGAGACAAAAGCAAACCATTAATCAAAGAACGTGAAAATCATATCCGCAGGAGGCCAAGTCCTTCTGCCACATTCTGCTTAAGCCATATTTCCGATCTGGCCTACGGAGGGATTGCGGATTTGGGCGTTTCACCCCTTAGCCCCCCGCTAACGGCGGGCCAGCGACTCACAGGGCATCCTGTAGAAGATGCGCTCGCTGGCGCCGTCGTTGGTCTGCAGGAACTTGCTGTCCACGGACCAGTCGAGGTGCGTGATGAAGCTACTGGAACGGTTACACTCTCCCACCTTCTTGTAGCGCTGGGACACGGCGTAGACGTCCACCAGGCCGTCGTTGGAGCCCACCGCCAGGTAGGCGCCGTCGGGCGAGAACTTCATCTCGTGGATGACCTCCTTCCTGTCCTTGATGTGGACCACCTCGGTCATGTCCCTGGGGAGACACGGCGACAGGATGGGTTGGCTACTCACTCCCCCGTCCCCGTTTACCCTCGTCTCCTCACCTAGAGAGCCGGGAGCCGCAGGGACCGAAACGGCTGCTGTGAAGCCGACGTGAAACAGCGCGGCTCTTTAATTAAGCTCAGCTCCTTCGTCTTAAACACAGGCTGCCACAGCGGGTCGCAGGATATCCCGCCTCCCTGCTTACATTCACCCTACCAGATTTCAGGAGCTTTCACTATTTTTTCTGCAACTCCAATAACCACTACATTAAGGGGCACACCTAGGAAGGGCTAACGCTTATAGCCTCGGTGTTTTAAAAGTCCTGGCTACGGCTCTGCCTCCGTCAGAAACCTAGATTAGGATGCTGTTCATGTGATCATGTGCAGGGGGCGCTGTGAGGCTCCACGGGTTAGGCCTCTGAGCCTGTGTTCAGGAGTCACAGGTTTGAATCCTGTGCTCCACAGAATAGCTGTTGGACCCCTGAACAAGGCCCTAAACCCCCCCCCACCCCCCAAAAAAAACTCCAGGGGTGTTAGATAAATGGCTGACCCTGCACATGAACACCAAGGTTTATTCTCACCTGTGTGGGTATGTCACAAAGCATGATGGGATACGCAAACGCAAGCATTCCGATGTACCTGTAAAGCATCCTAGACCGGCCTGCCATCACGGCTTTTTTCTTGTTTCAGTTATATTTCGTTTAAAAAAAGATCAAATCAAGCCGTGAAATCCTCAGGACCGCATCATACGCTGCCTGGATGTGGAATCTGTTAAATCTATTTAGAATAATGTATTGCTTGGTTCCTGTCCCAGCAAAACAATTAACCAAATGCAGCAATTGCGCAGGCTGTGACGGTTATACTGTAAGTGGGCGTGTGGGGGTGTCTTGGCGAGGGAAGATTATCTCTGTGCTGAACCGAATGGAATACCGCCGGTACTGCAGCCAGTGACGGGTCGGGCTGCCTGCTGCTTTCTGGCAGACACCAACAGAGCACACGCCCGCTCGCAATTATCCCGGCGCGTAACTCGATTACCGCATGATGCCATCGTAACCAGAGGCTTGTTAAGTCACAAATATACCCTGTGCACAGTCTAGACTCGATGCCTGTTTTGATCTTCTTCCCCAGGGAACCACACCCATCCGTGTTCATCAACGCGGGAAAAAAAAAAATCCACATATTAATCAATAAAAGAAAAAAAAAATGAGGGGGGTTTGGAGGCTAAGGTTTCATACTTTCATTCTTTGATCCTGGGAAAATTCATTATAAGGCATATTGGTCCTGAGAGAAAGGTCCAGTATACGGCTTAGCAGCTACATACGGGGGTGTGAAGGCTTGGCTTAGAGGCCGGGAATGCAGCGCTGTGGCGAAAAGTGCCTGAAATTGGGGGTCCAACATGAATGACCCATGTCAGTAAACCAGCAGCTGAGTGAGTGAGACTCGCAAGTCACCGGTTGCAGTCATTTTTTCGGGTAAACGTTTACATTTCATTTCTGGGGCAGATGCCTTTTTCCAAAGCTATGTGCATTTTTGAGAAAGCAAAGATCAGCCAATCACTGGCTGCTGAGGGCCTTGCACATGGGTGACATCACTCTGCTGACCATGGGGTTTGAACCAGCGACCTAAAGGGCACAGAGGATCCTAACCCGAGCAAATAGAAAGTTGGGGGCACTTCTGCGGCAGCGCTGGACCGCGGTGAGTAGCTGACACCTGAGTGTGACTCTGTTTCTGTGCGCATTTACGTGACAGCACTCTGTGTCAAAGCAAAAAATAAAATAAAATCTAAGCTGAAAGACACATCAGCATGTCAAAATGTGAGAATTTGCCGTTTCTGTCGATGAATAGAAACAGCACTTCGATCAAACGCTGACAGTGTTCTGTGTAACATGCAACATTCTCAGGGACTTGCTCAAAAACATCCTCGTTAAAAATCCAACTCCGCCACAGAAAGCGGTTTTGGATTCTCGCCACACGTTCCGCCGCCGCTGGGTCACAAGGCAGCGCGTCGAAGTGAAACACGGCCTTGAAATGTGAATAATGTTTCTGTTCATTTCCTGCGCTCCACATGGCACACGCTGTACAATAACGCGGAGGCGGCGTAAGCCAAAGCCGAGGAGGAAACACTCAGCGATCCTTAGCCCTTCCGCTTCCTCCTCTGTGGATCTAAATCCCTTCAATTGATTTAGGGAATAATATAGGAAATAAGGAAAAATTAAAAATGACTCTTTAAAATGCAATAACAGCCAAGACTGCATGAGAAACGGTGCTTTTGCTGAGAGAATAAGTGGTATCACCCAAAGGGTCGAGTCTTAAAGAGACGGATCTCTATTTATGCTCATCCACGCTTTGTAGGGAGGATTAAAGGGGAGAAAGACCAGCGTTTCAGAGAATTCCAGTCCAATTAGCCGCACCCCCGTGGTGACCCCCCCCCAGGATGTAATTAACGGAGCTGACAGAGACAGTGACCAGCACCAGCCTCAGTCTCCTGCTGGGCCCCGTGTCACGGACCGTGCTGCCCAGGACTGCGTCTGAAGCCAGAGCAGCCACATCGATATGAGACTCGTTTTTTTTTTTTTTTTTTTTTTTAAACGGAAGATTATAGGCTGATGTAAGCGAGTCTCTCCCTGTGGCCCCTGGGGTGGGGTTTAATTAGGAGGATGGGGGGACAGCAAGTGCCCCGGGGAATGGCTACACCTTCCAGAAGAAGGAGATGCTGCCATGTTGGCTGTGCAGGACCTGTTACACCGGTGAGGAGGTGGTGAGGTGATAAACAGGAACGCCCCCCCCCACAGGTAGCACTAAGCAGCAGCTGTGTAGCCAAACCACTTTCCAGCTCAGTATAATTCAGTGGGGACTTGACTCACTGACTCGTGACTCATTTCGGACTCAAGTCACAAATTTGATGACTTGGGACTCAACTCGGCAAAACTGATGAAAAGACTTGGACTCAACTTGGACTTGAGGGCAATGACCTGAGACTTGGACCCGACTTGAACCCTACGACTCAGGAAGACTTGAGGTTATAGCCCCCCTCTGCACACCATAATGTTTTATACTTTCAATGTATATTAATTCTGTTTGCATTTTCAATTAGCTGAATGCAAGGACTCCGGAGATTGCTGGAAAGATGCGTCACTCCCTGCATGTACACGGACGTAAAATCTGTGAGGACAACAGTGAGTAGAGATTCTCTTATCAACCTACAATGTACTGTGGTGAGTTTTTGCTGCAACAAATTGTAATAAATAAATAATAACAAATTGTCAAAAAACTGACATAGGTAGAGACTCAACTTGACTTGGAGTCAAATCACAAATTTGATGACTTATGGCTTGACAGCAAAAATGATGGAAAGACTTGGACTCGACTTAGACTTGAGGGCAAATGACTTGAGACTTGACTAAGACAGCAATGTTTCCATCCCTGCGAGCCACAAGAGGCGATCCTCAAATGCTAAAATGGGGCCGTCGCACCGCTAGATCCTGTGAGCGGCAGGGTGCTTTTTGTGGGAAAAGGTAAATTCAAGTCGGCCATTTTTCTAATGCTATAAATTTGAGGAGCTGTTAAGAATCCATCGGCTGCCACTCAAAGATCCTTTCGGAAAATGCGCACAGCATGGGTCTTACTAAGCAAGACACCAGAATTTCACTGTGTTCTGGGATCTGTATTATAAGTCTGTTTTTATATAATCTGTATTCCCCCACTCTTGTGACATGAATAAAATCAATGTATCCCACACCTGGGGTCACTGAGGCTAATTTACAGGCACAGCTGAGGATTAAGCTTAATCTTCCACATTCTGGGGGGGGCGGGAATTCCTCTCATGATACGGAACGTTTGTAAAACCTCATGTATAAAGACAATGACAAACCACATTCCAATGCACTACACATAGTATAAGTCACAACCATAAATAATGGGGGGGGGGGGTCCCCCGTGACGTCCACACGCCCAAGGTGCGAGCGGCGGCTCTTTCAGGCTCCTACCTAACGCGGAGCACGGTGAACGAGCCATCCTTCATGCCCAAAGCCAGCTGCGACCCGTCGCCGTTGAAGGCCACGCTGCGTATGGCCTCCTCCATGTTGCAGCGGGCGATGAGGGCGTGGTCCACGAGGCTCCACAGCCTGCAGGGGGCGACGCAGAGCTCACAAAACGGCCGTGCGCGGCCTTTCCAGACGCGGGTCCGGGAAGACGGCTTAGCGCTGACAGTTAACATTCACACAACGCAGCTGGGGGAGGGGTGACGAGAGCCTAGAAATCCCACCAAAATCCTTTGATTCGTCTCACTGGGCTTCAACTCGGTCCATCATTCCCGTACCTGTGAATCCAAACATTTCTGGACCCGTCTCTTGACCCCCCATATAATCCGGAAAACGACGGCACCAAGCTGACGTCCCAGCTGCCCAAACGCACCTCTGCGATGCTCTGAGAGCGAGTCACATCTTAGCGGGGGAATGGGACATGGGCTTTGTTTGCAACTTCCTCCAAGCTCTACTGACAGGCAGAGGGCGCTCTCAGCGTCACCCATCGACACCCAGGTTCAAAGCCCCCCTGCACTGTTTGTCAGTCCCCGTGTCTCCAGCTGCTTAATCTGCGGCGTCTGTCTGGCTGCGACCGAAACGCCTACGCAGCGGAGCCAGCGGCTGCATTAATTGGGCCCTCAGCAGAGGTGCTCGCCTAATGGGGGCGGGGCCTGTGTATCCTGAACCTCGCTGGGGATGCCATTAAAGCCAACCCCGTCAGGCGGCATCCTCAACGAGTCTGCTCATTACCCATAAGCCCCTGCTACCGGCCTACTCTCACTTTGATGGCAGGCGCATTAGCGACACCGAACTCCGCGCCTGACTGTGACTGAGGCTAACAGCCCCCGCAGAGCACGCGCTTGATGAGCTCGTTTCTCACTCGCCGATATGCTTAGATCTTCTGATCAATATAACGGCACCGACTCATTGAAGCCAGTTTGCCAACAAATAGTCCAGTTACTGCAGTCAAACCACATGCTTAAAAAGGATTTAAAATGACTTTTTTTAATCAGGGGATTTAATCTGATAAAATAAAGTAATGTTTTGCTAATCAACAGAAAAGTTACTACAGTCAAATCCATATATTTAAAATCCATGTCAAGTCAAGGAAGGTATTTAAAAATTACTAATTTAGTTGGATCAGTGGCAAAACCATGTGGTTACTGGGATTTAAAACATTCTGTGTTAAGGAATGTCTACCCAGAATAGTCCAGTTTATGAAAAGGATGGGGGAAGGGGGGAATCACAAGCGTGCACTGGCCTGACAGAGCGGTCGTCGCTCCCGGTGACCGCGAGAGGCTTCTTGGGGTGCACGTCCATCGCCCAGAGCTCGCCCTCGCAGTGGCCCTGCATGATGAGCAGCGGTTTGTCCCGGTCACGCACCATCACCTCGAAGATCTCGCTGTCCTGCGTTCCCGCCAGGATGCGGTCCGCCCTCCAGCAGACGCTGCGGATGGACAGACCTGCGTGCAGGGACGAGGATGGCGGCGTTACATACACATGGCCGGAACGCGACCAAATACCCCCAAAAACAACCACCCCGTTCCCAACTGATGTGGTTAGATCCTGTGTGACTCAGCTCCTCTCCTCTTGCCAGATGCAGTGCAAGTTTTTTTTCCCTGTCAGCCTCGTCTGTGGAGAGACGGCTTGCCAGCTGATGGAGACCCAGGTGAGGCGTGAGCAGACACCGTAATGCCTGCCTGTCCTGCTGCGCCGCCGAATGCTACAGACAGGCCATCGGTGCAGCCAGCGGAGACCTTCATCAAGGTGCCAACGCACAACCCCCCCCGTGCCGCGACTCGACACGGGGCAGACAGAGACCTCATTCCCACACCCTGCCCTCACAGGCCCAGGCTGATAACCTTCATAATTACTGCCAGTTAATTACCGGGACACTAATCAGCAGAGTCACCAGGCAAGGCCCCTGGGCGCCCGGTGAAAGGAGAACCTAAGAGCCGAGCCTAGAACCGGACCCGTAGCGGGTCGGCTGTGGTGTGGGTCCACCGGCATCCCACCGGCAAGTTAGGGCAGAATCTCCTGCCATTATCCCCTTCAGGATGGGTCCCTTTTAAGCCATCACACACTCTGCCGTCTCAATGATCTTCAGTGTATCTCCTGCCAGTGCAGACACTGGGCCAAATGCACAAACTGGAAGAGAAGTTTACAGCCACTCCAGGTGTGCCGTACTAATCAGCTGAAAGCTGGTGGGGGGTGAGGCCGGGTCGGTGGGCTCCCCGCTCCCCCCTTATGAATGGCGTCCCTCGGGGGGCGGCTCTGGAAGGAGGCAGCCGGCTGGAATGATACCACACGCAGGCTGGGAAAGGTCAGGCATTAATATTCAGGACCCCCACACCCTGGGGAGAGCAGCAGGGAGGGGGGTGGGCTAAAGGAAGAGAAGCCCCACAGTTATAGTCTCCTTAGGGGGCTTTAAGCCAGAATCACCGTTTTTAAGCAAACCGCTTTAAAACTGCGATGTTTCGTAGAAATGGCGATCAGGTCTTACAAGAGTGACGTCTGTCAGTTTTGCGCCTCGCCCCGGGATCAAAGTGACCCCGAATCAGAGATCACCACTACCACAGGCCAGGGCACGAGAACACGAGGGGCGTTCGGCGAAGGAGAGCCTTCCACCCTTCTTGTCGGACAAGAACGCAGATCTGCACGTACACGCTGAAATGCTTTAACCCTCTCTGCCGGCTCCTCTTCTTGGTCAACCCAAAAAGTCGACATGCAAATTAAGTGCAGAGATTTAACGCGGGTGATTAATTATCCGCTCCCCCCACCCCACAATGACAGCCAGGAAGCAGGCCTAATTACAGGCTGATGACACCACCTGCGAAGGCAGCCCCTGGCTCATTAGGAGAAGTGACCAATCGCAGCCCTCAGGAAGGCGCCATTAATCAGCAGCTCTCCCCTGCCAGTTACCCACCTCCCGCAGTCTCAGCTTGGGCTAGTCTGGCCAAGGCACTCAGCTGAATACTGTGTACCAGACCGACTGACTGTCGTCATCAATGGATTAGCGTCACGCTAACTACATACCTGTTTCAATCTATACTCTCCACTTGTCTGACTCCATGTTTTTTTGGGTATTAGAGGTTTAAACAAGGAAGAAATGTGGTTTAAAAAACAATACATGTGAATAATCGTATCAGACTATCACAGAGCCCAGATGCCCCCGCAGCTGATGGAGAGAATTGTAGGTATGAGGTCACCTCACACAGGAAACCTACTTAATGGTCCCCCAGGAAGTGACAAAGGCAAACTGGAGCATCTCCTGCTGCCCCGCCCCCCTCACCTTTATACCCCTGCCCCGCCCCCCTCACCTTTATACCCCTGCTCAGCCTCCCTGAGGTCGATTTTGGTGATGGGCTTGAAGTCTGTGTCCCACAGACGTATGCAGCCGTCTCGACCCCCGGTGGCAAAGCCCTCCTCGCAGGCGTACATGCTGAAAATCCCCGCCTGGAGAGGTGTGGGGATAACCCAACACAGACGGGAGGAAGAGGGGAAGAGGGAGAGAGGGAGAGAGAGGGAGACAGAGGGAGAGTAAGAGAAAGAGGGAGAGAGAAGGAGAGAGTGAGGGAGAGAGAGAAAGAGGGAGAGAGAAGGAGAGAGTGAGGGAGAGAGAAGGAGAGAGAAGGGGAGAGAGTGAGGGAGAGAGAGAAAGAGGGAGAGAAAAGGAGAAAAGGAGGGAGAGAGGGGGAGAGAGAAAGAGAGGGCGTGAAAGAGAGAGTAAGAGAGAGGGAGAGTGAGAAAGAGGGAGTGAGAGGGAGAGAGAGAGAGAAAGAGAGGGAGAGAGAGAAAGAGAGGGAAAGAGAGGGAGAGAGAGAGACAGCTCTTGGTATGCAACCTACAACACTTATGGACTCTGCCCTGTATCTGGAAAAGCCCTCATTGGGCAGCCTCAGTGTGTACGACGTGCTGCTTTGATTTCATGGCAGGAAGATGATTCCACGCGTATGCTTTGTAAAGCAAGGACGGCTTCACACACACATGCTGCCAGCCACAAGCCTGCAGCCACTCCCAGCTCTGCAGAATCTTTCGTTTTTGAGCACGGAAAAGGAGAGAAAAGGCCAACTGAAATATTCTTTGAAGTATCATCTGTTTTTTTTAACTTCTTAATGATGGCAAAGTTGCTGCTATCACAAAAAAAACTACTTTTCCCCCCAAGACCCGAATACACACAGTGGTCTAACAGCTCTTCTGTATGTCAGGCCCTGCCTACTGCGGTAACGTCATTCTTCTATCTGTTTGGTTCAAATAAAGCACCTTTTGTGGCAGAACCAATCTACACGAAAGGAAAAAAGTGAATCAATTGAAATGGAAAAAAAAAACAGATTTTCATGGCTGTTCGTGCCCCAACAGACATAACAGTCCATTTGCATAGTCCTGCATTTTAGATTTTCAATGTAAATAGCTGCACCTTGCATCAAAATGGAGTCCTACTGAATGATAAGCACCAGTATGTCTTTGAATATACTTCATATACAGACATTAAACTGTGTACAGGCATATAAAATGTAATAAATGTTTACCTGTCATACGGTCAAATGAAACAGACAAATAATCACCTTCTTATTGTCCAGATAGTTTAACTGCAGACAGCTGCAAGCCAGAAAAACCCACTACGCTGTCATGACATATCAGCGTGAATTTAAACTAAATGTGGATGAGGCACTCCTGTATTCTACATAAAATAACACAGACACGAACAGTCTCAGGACCCTGACTAGAAAAAGCAGTTAGAAGATGGATGGATGAAAAAAGCAACAGTCCTTCAACGTCAGTGTGCATGCATGCGAACTGTGGAGCGTTATGGTGAAAACGCCCTTGAAATGGTTTTTTTTTCTCCATGTTTGTGTACTTTCAAAGGATTACAAAAACATGCGTGCAAACTTTCAATGCATCCCCTGAATAACTTCATTGTTAAAATAAAAAAAGGACTCGTGTTTTTCTTTGAAAGGGAAAAACACATATGTCAGAGGGTTAGCGGCATGCTAAGGAAAATGAAAGGGAGAGTGCTATTCCTTGATTGGAGATATCATTCATCCACCTACTCAGACTTTGAACTGGGAGTATTTGTTAGAGCGTACACTAAAGACTCTCAGCACAGAGCTTTTGAACTGGGAGTATTTGTTAGAGCGTACACTAAAGACTCTCAGCACAGAGCTTTCTCTCACTATGAATTTAATCCGAGGTCGTTCTCTTTTTCTGTCTTTGAACGTACGACCCACTCAGAGTAGAACAGGCCAACTTTGGTTCTGTTTCGGTATCAGCGATACCCAGGACAGGAAATGTCACTTACTGCTAAAGAGAGCTGGATAATTAAGACCAACATTCATGGAAAAGTAAAGATCTGCTGGTAAACTCCTGCCTTACCCATAATCCAATGCGGCTGGAATGAATGAGGACTAATCCCACATCTCCTACATACTCACTCCATTGCCCCTCACCCAGCTCCTATGGCTCTCGTATAATTATTATTAATATGGTCATTATTACCAACTGCAGCATGTAATTCTGACCTTTTCTAAAGGCTGAATATTCTACTAGAACATTTAAAGCCAAGAGTGGCGCTCAAGGGTATAACGACAGACCCTCCAATGGACGCTGTGTCCTCAACCAGCGCGTTACCTGCTACCCTCCTGCTAGACCTGACGCCCAGGGACACTGACCGCAGAACAGCATGATAATGCGGTGCTGCACGTGCCTTGCACCGATATGAGCATCGGAGACCCACGATGCCCGCCCCCCCCCTCCCAGACAGTGACCACACAATAGCCTGCTTACCTGCTCGCATGGTCATGAGGCTGGGGGATACTCACCCCATGTGCCGACAGTACGGTGCGCGCCAAGTTCATGCCCTTCCACACATAGACGTCCCCGTTGAGCGCCCCCGAGTACGTGACGTCGTCCTTAGAGGAGGCCAAGCACAGGATGGTCTGCAGGTCGCCCACCTTACCGAAGATCCCTCGCTTGGGGGTCAGGGCATTTCCACACAGGGACCAGAACTGCAGCAGGGGGACGGAGATGTTTTCAGGTGGGGGGTTGGGGTGGGGTGCTGGTAAAGCTAGGGGGGGAAACTCTCTCAGAAGGCTGTCGCATTACATGCAAAGACACTTTCATTAACACCACTCCTCACTGAGTCGCATTACAGGGTACAGAGCCGGCACTTCCGTTAAAAGAAAGGGGCTCGTTCATTAATCTACGCCGACGGCCCTGGGAGCGTAACGGGAAAGAGGCTCCGGAATGCGGCGCCTGCTTCACACAGATAAACAAAATCGAGAGGTTTTTAATCCTGGGAAACTCCTATCACTGAGAATGCAAAAAGGTGACACGGAGAGATTTAATGCGACCCCCCCCCCCCGCATGTTGTTTCTGCTGAGCTCCTTGGGTTAACTGCTGGCAGGGGCCTGGAGTGTTAGGACACCAGGTCTGAGGCTGTATCCAGGCTGCCTGGCCCCAATACCGCAGCCACACCCCCCAGAGCTGCATCCCGGTCACTTTTCTGGGTTAGCTGCAGGTGCTGCGCTCCGCCAGCCAGTGCCATGTGCCTTCTGACGTCCGCGTCCTATTAGTGCGCCAAAGGCAAGTCACATGACACCGGATATGGCACAGCGCCAAGTCGCCCAGTGGGCTAACCAGACAGGAGAAGGCGAGCAAGCCGGCGATGACTGACAGAACAAACTGTGGGTCCTGAACTGCACTGGATGTGATCTTCCAGCTGCAGTTTTAACAGTCACCAGTTATTTGACGTGATTTCTTTCTTTTTTACATTAATGCCATTAGACAGATACACCCGTCGCAAATGCGCCTTTTCTGTTTCCAGCTGGGTTTGGCAACAGAGAAACTCAGAAAGCATTTAGCCCCCGTTAGACGGACAGCATTTAAAGGCGCCAAAGACCGGCATGTTCTCCCACAGACGCCCAGGTCTCAGTTCCAGGAGCATGTGTCACATCGTATTACATCATCATGATGTCATGTTGATCTGGGTCTTCTTTCGGAGAGCCTCGAATCGGACTTTAGGTCAGATGGACAAGGCTGCGTTCCAGATGGAGGGCTGCCTAGCTCTCAGGTTGGAAGAGGGGCCGTATCGATTCCTCCCCCCTTAACCACGGCGATGTCCGGCTCGCCGTCCGTTGGCTGACCCGGCAAATTCCATCGCTCGTCAATCAGGCCGCGCCAAACCTCAGCTGTGGGCGATCGCTATGGGGATGGGTGCCATTCATTTCATAATCCATTTAAATGGCTTGAACGAGCCAATTTACCACTCATTATATCAATTAGCACTTTCTCTCCCCCCACTATTCACAATCTGTTTATCAGGGTGACTCAGAGCACGAATGTACACCATTTCCCTGTTTATTTGTCCTTGTAAAGAACCTTTACCTGTCATAGTAAATTAGAGCTCACTTTAATAGCTACTTACGATGAACAGCTGGTTGGAGCTGAATAAGAGGTATATTGCTGAATGTGAATGGAAATGAACAATAAAAATGCACATATTTGAAGTGTGAATGTCCTTCTGAAGCATTCCAAGGTTTTTGGAACATAATAGTCTGTTTTCTTTGGCATAAACCTCAGTTTGTAAGGGTCACGCCCCAGACTAGCAGTGCGACATGCCAGTCTGGATTACTGCATGATTCTGCTTCATATTGTGGTAAAATATGTTACTCTGCTTGGCTGGAACCTAACACCTCTTACAGGACCTGCGTCCCTTTCAGTGTCTTCAGGAGAAATTTTCTTTAAATATTTATTCATTTGTGATCTGAGAGCAAGTGGCAGACCAAACCAGGTAGATGGTCACACAGTGAAATGATATTATAGACCAGACAGGTCACAATGTTCTCTGAGAAACCCGGCAGCATAATCAGCGGAATGCATGCACCAGGACACTCTTATTTTTCAAATCATTTATGTTTTGCACACTAATATATGGGGTTATTTGACCCTTTTCTGAACGAATCTCTGTAAGATCGATTCCTTTATCCCGAGCACTGCACCAGAAGCTTGACCACATAATTCATCCCAGATATTCATATTTTTCATATACAGAGGAAGCAGAGAAGGAAAATGGCCTACATTTGTACCATGTCATGAATGGACAGATTAGGTAAAAGCATGCATACAATAATCAGCAGTCAGCCCACCACCTGCATCGACCCTGCGTTCATGTGCTATTCCGCTCGCATTTAAGTCTATCGGTCCACTTTGTAATTAGGTCACATGAGAGGCAAAAAAAGGCCCAACTAAGTGCAAACTGACCATAATTCATGACACTTCTGTTCCTCTTCTTAGTTAAAACCCAAATCTCCATATTATACATGGTGCTTGCTAGTCTGTGTGGTTATACTATGCTACACAAACATGACTGTATTACAAGTGTAACTGATTATCACACAGGTAAAATCACTACAGCTTAAGTATATATTCATACTTCATATATAGTAATTTATAATTCAACATTAAAACATTCATTTATTACATGAAGCAGAATAAACTGCTGACTTTGGACATTTTTTGACAAAAAATGTGGAACTCACAGCGAACCCAAATGGAATCCTGAAGGTCTCAAACTCAAAGAGTGAGAGAAAGATTATAATTTCTGATAGAAAACCTGAAGCTCTGTTCAGAATGGGCTTTAGCTACGTTCCTAGAGATGCTGAACTCACGACACATGCTCGTCACGGAGACAAACATGGCGTCAAGCATATGAAGCTCTGCGTGACCAGCATGAAGGGCTCTGCCTTAACGGGATATGGGATGGGGCCCGGAGCTCGTCCACTGCCCCACCCCCAAGTCAAACAGGAAAGGGGGGGTTCTGGACTCACCTTGATGTGCTTCACCCCGCAGCTCACCATCCTGTGCTGCTGGTACGGGTCCCAGGTGATGTCAAAGATCTGCAAAATGACACGGGTGAGTGGATGGGAGCCGCTGTCGGCTCAGAGAAGGTTGTCGCGGCAACCACGGCCACGCGCTTGCGGGCATGCACAGACACGCTCAAAGCACAATCACACGCACACACAAAGGGGTGCCACTTGCAGAATTTATCCTTCAATTCGTTTTACACCACTTCACCACTTAAACAGCTGGTAGCAACCCAAACAACCACAGTCCCTGCACTGGATGAAGCCATTAGTCACCATGACGGCGGCTGCAAGGGTCCCCTGGGACGCGGCTGGGCCAATTCGCCGAGAAAGACAGTAGCAGTGTTGGGGGGGTGGGTGGCGGCACGGACTGATGGCGGGGCTCTGCTCTCCCTGTCCACGTGACTAAACCCCATCCATCCTCTACCCACCGCACCCATGTCTACAGGCAATGTTGACATCTTAGGGAGGTCTAGTCCCCCCAAATTACCAACCGTGCCCACCCCCCTGAAAATACTGCAAAAGAAGAATGATTATCAACATATTCTGCGAGTACTGTGCTGTATTTACGTCCAATCATTTATTGTTATGTGTGAATGGTTGCTGTGTGACTCCATGTGCCTTTTTAATTGCCCTTTGGGGATAAAGGAAGTACAGTGGTACCTCAGTTCTCGAACTCATTAGAACTCGAATTTCTTAAAAGTCGAACCTACCAGTTCGAAAAGAAATTACCTGGAGCTCGATCTGAATCTCAGAAGTCAAACCGTGAACGCCGACCTAAGATAACTTGTCCGCATGGGGAAATGAGTCACGCGGCACGTCTCTCAGTCTCAGCTTCAGTCTCAGTCTCGCATTTGCTGTGATAGCATCGTGCATGTTTACACTAACTGAATACATATATTTAGACAGTAAAAATACATTTATACAATGATAGACAGTAACAGTAATTATTATTATATAATAAAATACATTTTAAAATTAAGATTTCTTATTCATTATTTTAATATTAATAATAAACCATTAATACGTTTAATTATAATAATATGGTTGTGCCGAGCGGGGACGTAATGCAGACAAATGCGCAGACGTCAGGGTATCGGGGAATACGGGGTTTAATTACAGGTAAGGCAGGCAAAACGCAGACGGACAATACAATGACCGGACTAGGGAAACAAACTGAAACGTGGAGGAAATACAGAGGACTAATGACAACAACCAGAAACAGCTGATCACACGGGGATTCGACACGGGGTTAATGAGGGGGCGTGGCACACGGAAGGAGCGGACGATCGGGGCAGGACACATTGTTTGGATACATTTATTTTACTTTACAAATTACTGTTTTGATAAGCACAAAAATGTCTAATTTAAATGTGTTTAGATGTGTTTAGTACAGTATATGTTGTTCTTGTTTTATCCAGTTCATTTTGTGTTTAAATGCTAAAAATAACATACCTACGTGTAATTAATTGTTTTTCCATTATTTCTTATGGGGAAAATTCGATCACAATTCAAACTTTTTAGGATTCGATCCGTAGTTCTGAACGGATTAAATTCAAGTTCTGAGGTAATTTGAATTGAATTAAACTGAATTGAAGTCATTTTTTCTTAATGTGGTGGGATGCTACTCAATAACTTTTACCATCACCCCCATTAGTGGCATCCTGCCCCCCCATGCCCCTTGAAAATATCAGGCCCGGCCATGAAATATGTTCTGGCATTGACACCATGGCTGATCCTGGTACAAATACAGGTCTCCTGAGAAGAGCCTGAGAAGTTGCAGTGGACCCCTTATTCCAAGCTACATCGTGGCGAGTCAGAGAGTTGGAGACCTCAGGGGTCTGGGCGAGCCGGAAGACTGGTAGGAGTGCAGCACAGAACTCCCCGGGCAACGGTCCCATCTGCACCACACATATGTCAGATTCCCAGGCCAAGAAGCCTCCTTGCGACCCTCGCCGATGACGTGCACCTACCCTGTCCGAGTGCCCGGTCGCCGTAGCCAGCACTTTGCCCCTCTTCCAGTCCCACACGCACACCGTGTTCTTGGCATCAAGGCCCACTGACGCCAATCGCTACCAAGGGAGCAAGAGAGACAGAGTTACGCCGAAGGTCCCCTTGACAAACGGACCCGGAGGTGCGGGAGCCTGTGCCATACGGTGCCTGCGTAGACTTCAAAAGCAGTAATTTACGACGGCGATTCCGGCTCCGTGCCAGGCTGAAGGTCATCACTTCTAATCAGAGTTTGCCGCCAGGTCATTGCAGAGGAAGACACCACGCAGCTGACAGGCCAGGGATTCTCTAATGAAGCTTTCGGCAGAACGATAAAGGAGGTGCTGTAAATCGGTTGGGTTAATCGTTGATTGCATTTTTATGAATCTGGCACAGCAACAATGTAGCCGATTCAATATATCTGAGACAACAGCCCAGGTCATTTATAACATGGAAGCTGAAACACTACTAATTAGTAGCAATTCTAGCTAGAGAAGCAGCAGCTCTCTGCAGGCCATCCAGCACGCAGTGGATGGAACTGGAGCAAGAGACCAGTGTAGTACAATGAGCGGGTGGGTCTTCTTGTTCGATGTGACAGCGTGCACATCAATAGGAGGTGGGTCAGTCTTCACCCCTCATAGTCTGACCTGATAGTGCCTTTGATAATAACTTGACATTTGAGATCCAGTCAAAATCGATAAACGATAAACAGAAAATCCAATGGCACGTCTGAAGTATACAACTGAATTCCGTGATATGTTTGCGCTCTAAAGTTTAAGGATAACAGGTAAACAGGGGCAGACGGGATTCAGTCATTCGCCATGACTGAAACTGGCCTTGGAATCTAGAGCTGACAGTAGATGGTGAGGATGGGGGGGGTGGCTGGTGTTGAGACTGACGAATGCTACAGGGAGCCCAGGAAACCAACTGTGCTTGGCCATTATACTGATGAAACTCCACCCCATCTCAGCCTCAGCCAATTAAATTAGGTTTTGTATGTAAATGTGCAGGAGCCTTAATTTAATTAGCTGAGGGAAAAAAGAGGTGAAGTTTTGTTACATAGTGTTACCTGGTAGAACCATTTGAGGATAGCAAATCAACATAGACCAGACCCATATGTTCACAAAGATAAGATATTGGACAATAAAGTGTAGTGATTTCTATCAAGAATCATCCTTGATGGTGCTCCATCATTCACATGGAAATACTGAGTGAGTCTGTGAGTTTGTGAAAGAGAACAATCTGGGGACAGACTTCCCTTGACCTTTAAAGATTTTTGAACTAACATAAGTAACAAAAGAAGGTCAATGCTATGAACAAATCTGAACAGTCACTGGGGGAAACAACGGCTGCAGAAAGATCTGTCTGAAGGTCAAGGTGAAGGTTCAACTTCTGGAGATATCAGACATGACGGCATTCAGTCCAGCCAGCCAAAGACACAAATATAAAGCCTGTGTTATGTCAATGCACGTGGGGTGAAGAAGATGATTAAATATTTAATCAAGCTGTCTGGCCCAAGGAAAGATCTTGGGTGACATTCCTGGACCGTGATGTCCACTGAATCCTATGGTGTGGAGCAGCAGAATGACCTTCAGCAGATCCAGAAGAAGACAGCTGATATTCAGCTTGGCTCTGCCCCTCTGAAAGGGAGAGAGGGGTATTTCAGTGATTTTTCATGCCTCCCATTTCAATTAAGAGAAGTGGACAGGCTCTTAAGCCAAAAGATAGAGCTGTAATTCAAGGGAACCTGTTCGGTGTTCTAAAACTTCACAGGGCCCTCCAGGAATTCAGTTCGCCTTTAATGCAATTGGAACAGGACCCTCACTCCTATACCACCTTGCATTTCCACCAATGCTTTAACACAGCGTTCTGTGGGGCTGTTTACCCCCCTGACTTGCACTCAGGCTCTGAGAAAACAGCAAGCGAATCCACTCCGAGGGCCAGACTAATGAAAACACCAACGTAAAAATAACACTCTTCTATTAAAGGAACGCCTGAACACCTAGACCCCCGTCTAGTTCTGCGGTTCTCCACCTTGTGTTTCTTCTGCTATGGCCGGGTGTGTTTGCCTGACGATTTCATTATGTAGCTCGCTACGTCGCTAATAGCATTCTGCCACACATCCGCACCGCATCCAGCTGTCCTCATCCAATCAATTACTTGGTGCACGCGAGGGACACATTCTTCATCGGCCACAATCTCAGGGGTGACATTGCATTTGTCAATGGAGAATGAGAAAAAAGATCCTCAGCCGTGCTTATTCTACAGCTTCTCCACACTCCTGCTGTGTCCTACATTCTTAAACGACTGCACTAGATGCTAGCGGAATAGGCAAAACAATTGGCTCTCATATACATCAACCAGAAGGGTGTTCCCCTCCCTCTGTCGGTACAACCAATGGGAAGAAGTGAGTACAAGATCAACCACACCTCCAGCTATAGTGTATAGCTAGGTCATGGATCCCAGTAAGACTGGGCATATGAAAAGGCACCATCCGTTCACTGGGGCAGCACCTGTCCATCCGAGTCGAAAGCCAGGCAGGCCACCCCGTGGGTGTGGATGTCCTTCAGGATGGAGGTGGTCTGCATGTTGTATGTGTCCCACACGCAGATGTATGGGTCCTTCCCCACCTGGCCAGTAGCAACCTGAGTTTTATCCGGATGCAGGGCGAGGCTGCAAGAGGGAGAAAAGGGAGAGAAGATCAACAATATGAAGTTTGGCACGAAGGATCTCTATCTTCAAAAATGTTGTTGTGCATATCTGGTGCAAATTATATATGAAATATGACCATTTACAGTGAACTGTGAACATGAAAGGAACCTGTAGCAGAGGTCTAGACAGGATATATTTAGAACACAATTTCTAAAGCTCATTTAAAACGAATAAAAACCTCCATCCTACAGTATTCTTGCGTTCAGCCAGGATTTTTAGTGAAGTGGAAAATGACATCATGTTTTCAGACGTCACATTTTCCGCAAAGCTTCTGGCCAGTGGAAATACACGTCACACTGTAAATGTGCTAGAGTCACTTAATTAATGGCCTGGAGCATTTTATTATCTGTAAAGACAATATGGATAGTGACAGCATAATCTGCCTGAGGCTAACCATATCACCCATAGCTGAATTATAGGAAATAATGAAAAGGAAAAAAATCGACTGTATTTTGATCATACATACAAAACACAATCTCCTAAATATGTGTTTAGGACACTAAGTCAGGTTTATCAAAAAAATACTTTAGACAAACAGAACAGTCATTAAATGGTAATTACTGAAATGATTTTCATGGTAGGCCGGGGAAGAACACCTATGCATGTAAATTTCACCCAGTTAAAATCTGGATGCTTCCATCCAAGGTATGTTGCAGTAAGATAAATAATCACTGAATACGGCTTCTGAAGATGCCTGGAAGTTCATAAAACCCACAACAGACAGAGGGAAGCACAGCTGAATGCTGATTATAAACACTGCCAGAACAGATGTTTATCAGACGAGACTAATGCAGAATGAGAAAAGATCGAATCTCTACAAGTAAGACTGTAATAACAATAATGACCCCTGATTCAATTGGCAACCTACTTCCTCATTATTACTTCCTCTGATGATCTATCTCGAGAAAAATAGTCAACGCTGATCCCAAGTTGGTCAGTCACATACTGCAAGATTGTCCTTAGTGTCTACACTGGACTGTGTTGTTTTTATGTATTGTTCTCCATATATGTTATGAGTGTGTGGGCTAACGTGCAAGTAACAGATTCGTCGTGTAAGTATATGTCATAATAAGACTTTGAATCCTCAAATCCACAGTTTGCGGCCAAAGCTTTTGACGCGACATCAGTACTTTCCCAGACCTGGGAAGTTGGACAGTACCCCACCCACGGGCGACCGTAAACTGATTCTGAAGACGGGCCCTGGTGTTTGCGTGGCTAGCGGCGTGGGAAGTGCAGTGTCACAAGGGGTCTGTTATGTAACCAGCTTCCCAGCTCCTCGTAAAGGAAATACCAGCCAGTTAGGGCGAAGCCTCACAGCTTGTTAAGTCCCTGGGCGATGGCTGCTTGAGGTCTATCCTGCCACAGTTCTGGATAATGGCGGCACCGCTTGAGGTTGCTCACCGAATTGATACCAATAACGGGCATTTTCTCAAGGTTACCCAGTGGGTGGATGCAGGCAAGTTGGAGCCAGAGGGGAAACACAAACGTTTAGAACAATTTCCACCTTGTCGGGGGTGATTAGGGACCCGGAGGGCTTGATTCCGACTGGATAGATCTTGTGGCCGATGCCAAGGGGACAAGGTCGTAATGCAATTAGAGGCCTGGCTCCAAGCCTACACCACACTTGCAAACTAGCTCCACAATGAGGAAAACTGCAGCTGAAAAGCGACAGGAAAAAAAAACTGTACCTAAGAGTCCAAACTCATTTTGATATCAAGAATGTTTGCTGCTAATGAAAAACCCAACTCTTCTTTTCAACATTGTGTCAAAGCAAGGCTACAAAACACTCCTAATTTCGAGAGCCACAATCAGACAAGTTGAATTCCCCGAGACACTCAACTGACTACTACATCCTTCAAGATGCAATGAGCCAGATAATGGAGCTTTTGGGTGGGGGAATGGTCCGGTGGGGGGGGGGGAGGAGAATCCTATTTATCTCCCTGATGCAGTTGCAAGGGAGGAGGAGAGAGGCCTGGGGAAAACCTATATTCACACCAATCACGTAGCAGACCTCACTAATCCCATTCTGAGGACTCCAGATCTGGAGCATCTGGTGTTTTGTGGCCCGAGCATGTACGACCCTGCCACAAGGCACAGAGATGTCCTGTGAGATCCAGCACCACCAGTCTGGAAGATAGCAACGTTTGATCACCCTTAAGCCCCTGCAGCGTTTCCAATCCTGGGCCTTTTCTATGTACATAGTTCACATTACAGACCAGCAGAAATTGGAGGCGCACAAATTTCAGAATGTGGGATGAAGGTGTGAAGAACATGGCTCATAGGGAACACAAACCACATGGAACATGCACTAGTTTACGTTTTAAAGATGGTACATATTTGAACAAATGGTCATTAATACAATGATGCAGGCCTCATAATACGACCACCTCCTTCTTCAGACCATCAGCCAACCGCTAAAAAGGCAGCAGCCAAAGATTTAAACCTAGAAACGGTCATAGATTCACAGCTTTGTGCGGCACGGTACGACTAATGAAAATCCAAGACGCTTCAAGATTAAAGCCGCTCACATGTGTTAGGAAGGTCAATGGAGGCCATATTGGGCAAAAGAACTCTGGATGACTTTACAAGAAAAGCATAAAAAGAGCAGAAGTTTACTGATGGAGAGAAGGATGGACAGAAGGGTTATACTGCTGATGCGAGTGGCAGCATCCCAGCCAGTCTGACCAAGCAGCAAAGCAGTCCGTCAGCCATGGCTGCGTCAGGCACAGGAATAAACGCTGCTGGAGGAACGCCGTTAATTACGGGCATTCGTCCCCGTGACTTACAGGCTCTGGTGCACACTACAAACAACCTATATCTTCCAGAAGGAGCTGCTTCTTAAAGAGACAGCACTCTTTCTCTAGTGATGGGACAAAGAAAACTGGTAGTGGTTAGGTTTACCATGTTCCATCAATCACTGCCTGGATTAAGCCGATGGGATCAAACAAAGGAAGCAGAAAAACCTGCTCCTGTCTGACAGGGCACAATAATTCCACCCACCACTTTCTCTTGGCAACTTGATTAAAATTCTAGGTGTTGGGGACACAGTCACTCATCATGTGGTGTCATCAGCATGACTAGCTGTAATGAGCCTGAACCATTTCGCTTACTTTCCGCCAGGGGTGCTGGTTGGGTAGGGCTCTACTCGCCGCTAACCGCTAAAGCCGCAGTTGCGGGGGACGGTAGCGAACGTGCTATATCCCAGTCTGACTTCTGTTAATGTGGGTTGACCGCATTCGGCCGCACTCGTTCCACAACATCAAGATAAGAATATACATGTATATTATATCAATCGCAGAGGCATAAGATCGCTTAGAAATCCTTTCCGAAACATTAAGCGGCGCTGGCGTAGAGAGGGTTATTATAAAGCAGGCCATTCAATTACCCCAAAGGATCAATTTTCTGTTCAATCACGATGCCACTTAAATAATGAATACAGGTGCTTTTTCTGAATTTAAATTGGTTTTAACGAAAGACACACTGCATTCACAGTCTTAATTACGGCTGAAGCTGGACAGGATAAGGTTGCAGAGGTCTTATATATGAAGAAACTGAAAATAAAAGGAAGAAGCACAGGACCACTTCAGGACCAAAGCCGGTGCTCGGGTTTCTTGGCCCTCATCTGTCAAGGTTGACATTTTATTTAATTTTATTTCACCATGAACTCTGCAGAGAAAATTGCTGGCCAGGAGGAGTCTGGGTATCTGTGTAAACAAACCTTATAACATTTACAGAATTACACAGGCATGACACTCGTGGCTTTGGCCTCACAAGGTACAAGTTGTAATGGTAAGTTAATCACTACAAAACTAATAAATAAATCAAAAGGTTACAGGTCTTCCCTAGTAAGCATTTTTCCCCCATGTACTTTACTGATGACTAAGAGCAAGCCAAGAACTTACCCAAAAAGTGCCCACTAAGAGAATAATTAATTATAGAGATTAGAATTACACTTTTGTACAGTGAGGTAGGAAGAGCATTACAATGTTATTATTAATTAACCTAGCAGCACATTAACAATTGATAATATTGTAACCAGAATAATTATAATGGTAAAACGTATTTTAGAAAGTTACAGCCGTATCATTTATCATAAGATAACAGTGGTATTTCCGGGGGAGTTTTCCCTTTTCCTTCTTCCTAATACCAAGTAAAAAGCCCAGTAGCAGGGTCTCTGTGTCTATATGCCAGAACTGGGAGCAGGGAAGGTCCATTGTGGGCTTGTCCCATCCAAGGTCAACTGTGAGCAATTTGTAGCGTGCGTGCAAACACAGTGGGCAGGGCATCCGGAGTAGAACGAGGCAGTGTATCTGAGGGCATCTTCCTGCCCCTAGACCCTCATTGGTCAGTCATTGAGGGAACACATTTTTCTTGGCCAATCAAAGCAAAGCATAAGCTACAATGTTCCAGTACACAGTGTCTGCTGGTGGAATTATACAGCATTCCAGTTTCTGGGGACATTCTGGCTCTTTATCAGATTTTTTTGATTTTCCTGTGACAGGGGTACAGCCTTCATGATGACAAGGAAGGGCAATCAAGATCCCCAGTACCGTCAAGCCCCGCGTGTCATACCACAGGATTGGAGGTGAAACGACCCTCAAATTGTATCAAAGTCACCACATCTGGGAAGTGGAGGCCCACCCTGTCTGGTTTTCACTCAGGTGCCATTTATTTAACATACAGCAAAGGGGGCGAGGTCACATCAAGAGGCGGACACAGCTGAATGTGTGTAATAACAATCAGGAAATCCTGATCTAATCCTAACCCTACATGTCCATTAGGAATATGGAGCATGCCGTCACGGCTCGCCCTGCGTGAAACAGAGGCTGCTCTCCCGGGCGCGTGTGTGTGTGTGTGTGTGTGCACGTGTACAGCTGGCGTGAGGGTCTCGGCTGTTTATCTCGGAGTCAGCCCTCCCCACCCCCACATCTTCCACACACCGGAGGAAACGGTTGGACAGA